GCTAACCATCAGAGGTCACCCTTCCCATTTTCATTGACTCTCGCACTCACACTGTTGCATATCTTCTCGGGCTACATATCCCATCATTCACAGCCCTGATTGCACACAGCTGGTTCACTAATTGCACAACACTGATTGCACCCAGCTGTTTCATATCACTCCCTCACTATTTAACACTCACTCTGATCCCTTCCCTCGGCCGAGTATTGTTTAGCGCCTATCTTTTGATAGCTACTCTACCGAGCCCTCGTTAGCCTCCTAGCCTAACTTAGTCTTGCCTTGCCTGTTTTCTCGGTTCCTGATCTTCGCCTGGTTTCCTGGATTTCTCCCTTTAGTCTTGTCCCTTCTGATTCTGTTTGCCGTTCATCGACCTACGCTAGCCCTAGGACTATTCTTGTGTCTTGCCAGCCATATACCTGTTTGCCACTGTTTGACCCTGCCTGTGTTTCTGACCTCTCTGCTCAATAAAGCTTTGCACATGGATCCGCACGTCTCACGTCTCGTCAGCCAAACAAGTACGACACACACACTCCCAAATAAATTACTCTGGAGTGAGCACAACCAAAAAGTTATCTTACACACTTGATCAGGCCGTATAGACGAAGTACAAACGAATACTGAAAGAAACCTTTTTTTGCTTCACCAAAATACTGAATCCTTACACAAACATGGCAAAAAAATAAGGTACTGACACAGTAAAAAATACGGTAGTGCTATGGTACAAAGAAGAGATAAAAGAAACACATTAATAAAGTCATCTCATCTTTGCTCTCACAATAACCACATTTTTTATATGAACACACATTGTTAAACATTAAAACAAGTGTTTTAACAGGATTGATAGCATTTGTACAATTCCAGATAATAACACATGAATAGAACAAGAAATACTGAACTTACACTGGAAATTTCCACTATCACCCGACAGGAGGTTCACGCGGATCACACACAATCCTATCTCATCTACGGAGAATTAAACATCAAAAGTTCACAAACAGGTCTCTGGTTCCCACGGATATCAAAGAAAAGTTTTACAGTAACATTTACCCAGAAAGACAGCATCATTTCATAATAAATTTCCCCGATGCCAACACAACGACATGGCACTTGGCTGCTTCATCGGATTATGACAAAATGGCTGTTCTGGTCACGCACATGCAAATAGGAAGTCTCGCGAGCAGAGATTGGCGATCTCTTAAAGGGCCATACACTGTTTCAACACACATTGAAAACATGCTGTATTTATACCTCTGGCTACATTCTCCCCTGCTGAAACCCATCATTGTCCTCAATGACATCAGTGCAGGTTCCTGACCTCATTTACTGCTTCCCTGAAAAACACACTACCAAGGCTTGTCAAAACCTGGGAAAAGACTTCAGGGCTGATTGAGACAGGATTACATGCCGACCTGGGTTCATTAAATGGGTTTGAATGCACACCAGCATTGACACGACTTGTCCTTCTTGGTGCAGGGACAGGTTTTTTTTGCACAGGTCTATCTGCAACAAGAACAATACCCTCTTCCCCTGTGTGCTCTAACTCAGAGGGTTGCTGTCCCTCATTGTCCAGAACACAATCAGATTCCACTGCTAACGGTTCCTCTGCTGACCTAGAGACTTCCATTTCCACATCTCTCGTCTCTGCCATGTGAGGCAAAGTAACCTCTTCCAATAATACACACTCTGGATCAACAGGTTCAGCTTCCACTGAATCAGAAGGAAGCTTAGCTACTGGAGCTGTCACTCTACTTACTGCCTCTGCTGTTTCAACCACAGGTCTCTCACACGGTCGCAAGTCAACTCTGTGAACCCGCTTTTGAGGACCTCCCTCTACAGGCTCAACCGTATATGTGGTACCTTGTACCTCTACTACCCGGTACACAACTGGAGCCCAGGAATCCTGTATCTTGTGTCTACCTACATGGCGGTGACGCAAGTACACCGTCTGCCCAACACCAACAGATGGACAGTAAACCTTGTCATTAAGTGGAGCCAATCTCTCGGCCGCTTTCTGCTTTGCAAATGCTCTCGCCTTTTCATGAGCTTCTCTGAGTCGGCTCTGGTGGATTACTAACCAATCTTGCCCTCTATTCACAGGATGTTCCTCGCCCAGGAGAGCATCTACTGGTGCTCTCACAATAACCACATTTTTCACATGAACATACATTGTTAAACATTAAAACAAGCGTTTTAACAGGATTGATAGCATTTGTACAATTCCAGATAGTAACACATGAATTGAACAAGAAATACTGAACTTACACTGGAAATTTCCACTATACCCGACACGAGGTTCACGCGGATCACACACGAACCGATCTCATCTACCGAGAATTAAACATCAAAAGTTCACACAAACAGGTCTCTGGTTCCCACGGATATCAAAGAAAGGTTTTACAGTAATATTTACCCAGAAAAACAGCATCATTTCATAATAAATCGTCCCGATGCCAACACCACGACATGGCACTCGGCTGCTTCATCGGATTATATCAAAATGGCTGTTCTGGTCACGCACATGCAAATAGGAAGTCTCGCGAGCAGAGATTGGCGATCTCTTAAAGGGCCATACACTGTTTCAACACACATTGAAAACATGCTGTATTTATACCTCTGGCCACATTCTCCCCTGCTGAAACCCATCATTGTCCTCAATGACATCAGTGCAGGTTCCTAACCTCATTTACTGCTTCCCTGAAAAACACACTACCAAGGCTTGTCAAAACCTGGGAAAAGACTTCAGGGCTGATTGAGACAGGATTACATGCCGACCTGGGTTCATTAAATGGGTTTGGATGCACACCAGCATTGACACGACTTGTCCTTCTTGGTGCAGGGACAGGTTTTTGTTGCACAGGTCTATCTGCAACAAGAACAATACCCTCTTCCCCTGTGTGCTCTAACTCAGAGGGTTGCTGTCCCTCATTGTCCAGAACACAATCAGATTCCACTGCTAACGGTTCCTCTGCTGACCTAGAGACGTCCATTTCCACATCTCTCGTCTCTGCCATGTGAGGCAAAGTAACCTCTTCCAATATTACACACTCTGGATCAACAGGTTCAGCTTCCACTGAATCAGAGGGAAGCTTAGCTACTGGAGCTGTCACTCTACGTACTGCCTCTGCTGTTTCAACCACAGGTCTCTCACACGGTCGCAAGTCAACTCTGTGGACCCGCTTTTGAGGACCTCCCTCTACAGGCTCAACCGTATATGTGGTACCTTGTACCTCTACTACCCGGTACACAACTGGAGCCCAGGAATCCTGTATCTTGTGTCTACCTACATGGCGGTGACGCAAGTACACCGTCTGCCCAACACCAACAGATGGACAGTAAACCTTGTCATTAAGTGGAGCCAATCTCTCGGCCGCTTTCTGCTTTGCAAATGCTCTCGCCTTTTCATGAGCTTCTCTGAGTCGGCTCTGGTGGATTACTAACCAATCTTGCCCTCTATTCACAGGATGTTCCTCGCCCAGGAGAGCATCTACTGGAAGACGTGGTTCTACTCCAAACAACAAGAAATAAGGTGAATACCCCGTTGTAGCATGTGGGGTTACGTTATATGCATAGATCAACTCAGGAAGGTGTTCTGCCATCGCCTTTTCTTTTCGGGAGGAAGCATTCTTAAAAACTTGTGGAGCATTCTGTTAAACCGCTTGCACTGAGCATTACCTTGTGGATTGTAAGGGGTTGTACGTGTTTTCTTCACTCCATACAAGCGACACAACTCGGCCACCACCTCACTCTCGAAATTCCTTCCCTGATCGGAATCTTTTGCCAGCCTGTTTAAAAGCACCCAACTTCGCCATCTTCAGATGACATAACAGGTTGTTATCTGTAACGACCACAAATTTTGCGCCCAACAGGTACTCCTTAAACTTTTCCGAGGCAGCCCACTTGAGAGCTGGCAGTTCAAGCTTCATACTACTATAATGCCTGTTGTTTTTCTCCACATTACGTAGCCGTCGACTTGCATAGGCGATCACTCTCCTAGAGTCACCTTGTTGTTGGTAAAGGACAGTACCTAAACACTCCCTACTAGCTTCCGTCTCAACTACAAACAGAAGAGAGAAGTCTGCAAAACCTAAGACTGGAGCCGAAGTAAGCTTCTCCTTTAACAGTTTGAAGGCTGTACTACACTCCTCTGTCCAAAGTGAACAAAACTCAGGTCTCTTAACCGTACCATGTTGTCTCAGACAAAATTTCACCAGGTTATGAAGAGGACCTGCAATTTTAGAAAACCCAATACATTTCCTGCAGTAGCTACAGAACCCTAGAAAGGACCTTAGTTCTTTCACTGTATTTGGTGTCTTCCATTTTCTCACAGCCTCTACCTTTCCTGGATTAGTTCCAATCCCTTGAGCAGAGATCTGATGACCTAAGAACTTCACCTGTTCTTGAGAGAAAACAATCTTATCAGGTTTATCAGGTTTAACTTTGAGTCCAGCCTCCCTTAACCTACCCAAAACCACTTCCAGCCTCTTTAGATGTTCCTGGAAGATAGACGTATAAACAAGGATATCATCCAAATAGACCAGCATAGTTTGAAATATCAAATCCCCCATTACAGACTGCATGAGGCATTGGAATGTGGACGGTCCGTTACAGACCCCAAAGGGCATACGGGAGTATTCAAATATCCCAAACGGGGTGGTAAACGCAGTTTTTGGTTGCAACCATCGGAATGCAACCGTTCTGGTACCCCGTATTTCATGAACCACTCCTTCAGCAGAATCTTCGCTGTAGTATCAGCTCTCTGGTCTCTGGTGGGGAACGCCTGTGTAAATTTAGTAAATACATCGGTTACAATCAATAGGTCTCTGGTTCCCACGGATATCAAAGAAAAGTTTTACAGTAACATTTACGCACTGTTTCAACACACATTGAAAACATGCTGTATTTATACCTCTGGCCACATGTATAATAAAATACTTGTAAATATAAACAGCCTATTTAGTTCCCTCTCACTCTACAACAAATATTTTAAATTTAACGGTATTCAGAACAGAACAAGAATGAAAAATAAGTAGTTGTAAAATTATAAATTCAACTATAAAATAAATCTAATTAGGCTATAGTGGCATTCATTATAAACAGCATACAAATATAAAGCAAAACTGAAACAGTTCTCACTGGCTGTAGTTCAAGTCAGCTCAAAGAGACAAACACAAAGCCCTTTTGTTTCCCTCCCTTACAATAAGAGACTCAAAAGTGCTTTGTGTTTGTCTTTGGATCAGCTTTTGTGCACATTGTGGAGACCAAAATTCGCCAAGTCATTCAGTGGCTGTATAAAACCTGTTGAAATTTAGTTTAGAGTCTATTACGTAAAGCCTACTAATTTTGATAATAATTTCTAAGTTGGAGACTCTAACCCTAATTATTTATGGTTGTATAGAGCAGAGGTTCTCAGCTCTGGCCCTTGAGGTCTATTTTCTTACAGAGATTAGCTCCAACCTTGATCAAACTCACCTGCCTATAACTTAAAAGTAATCCTGAAACTGATTAGCTTGTTAATGTGTGTTTGTTTAGGATTGGAAATAAACTCTACAAGAAAAGTGGACCTCGAGGGCCAGAGTTGAGAACCCCCAGCACAGAGTATACTGACAACTTATTAGATAATATTTTTTATATATTAAAGATGCTGTCAGAGAAAACCCCTTGAATGTGATTTGGTGATTGTAAAGAGGAAGAACAATGTTGGGGATTTGATTTGATGTGATGTATGCAATAAAAAAAAAATCTGTGGTATGGAAATTGACTTAGATATCCGATTGGACTAGTGCCAAGGTTGCCAATCAGCTGGGGTTGGGCTTTGCCCCTTTTTTAGGTTCAGGTGGAATGCAAATGGTAGAGCATCTGAGCTGAAAAGTCAAATGTGGAATTAGGGATTCAAGAACCTCTGTGAACTTCTGATTTTGTTGTGTCAGAAAGAGATTGTGATGAGAGGTTTTAGAAAATTACATGAAAGAGACAAGCCTTTGGCCAACTGTGGTGTAGATACATTGCTCCTCCTTGGATGATCACGCAGTGAATGTGTAATTTAAAGGGGACATACACACAGTTTCTGCCAATCTCATATTAATCTTGAGTACCTATAGAGTAGTATTGCATCCTTCATATCTTCGAAGAGTCTTTAGTTTTATCAGATTTATAAAAGATAGATAAAGCTTTACGCTTCTCTCCAAAAACAGTTGAGCGCCTTGAGGCGTGCTGTGGGCGGAGCTAAAGAGTAACGAGCATGCAAAGCTATTAGGTGTGTTCGACTTGAAGCGGCGCTGCACAGATCAATCAGTGTATGACATCAAAGTACCATGAGAGCTATAGAGAGCAGACGGCTCTGCATGCTTTTGAATCGCACTCGCGATACTTTGATGTCAAACTCTGGTCTATCTGAGCAGTGCCGCTTCAAGTCGAACACACCTTTTGCATAGTGATCATCTGTAAGCTGTGACGACATAAATAAAATAGGAACAAAAACTTTATTGACTTAAATTTATTTAATCTGTTTATAAAACATACGTGATCAAAATGCCGGGAACAAACAAACACTTGCACAACTCCGTTGCTGCCCCGGAGAAACAAACTGTATCCACTGTTCCCTTAATGCTGGGTTCTTTGGGAAGCTGGACAAGGTTATCTTCCTCTCACAACCAAAAACACACTTCTTTGGTGACATTTTTGATTTTGGGGTCTAAAAACAAAACGACAAATCCTTCTCAAGCAAGTCCTGTGCAGCACTGCCGACGACTTCCGCAAACCGAATGAAGCACGTTGACACTGTTGCCAACTTCTTTCAATGGAAAGTAGCTAAAGCTCGCTTGAAAAGTTGCTAGATGACATCATATGCTAATTAGAATATTCACAACATCATTGCGTCGTATTGCCTTTTACAAGACCTCGCACTCGTGTGTACCAGCAAGTCTCAGAAAGTAAATAAGGTTCGTCCAAGAAGTCACTAGATTTGTCGCTAGGCGCTTTCTTGGAAAAAAGTGAAATGTCACTAAATTGGCAACACTGCACGTTGATTGGCGTGCTCTTGCTTTCGCTCTGGTTGATGTGTGTGTGCTTTCTTCCAGGAGAAGTGCCCATACAAGGAATTATGATGTCATACAGGGCCATACTTGAAAAAAAAAACTTTCTGAGACTTGTACGAAGGAGTGTATTTGGCGCAGAAATACTCTGTCATATGTCCAACTCGTTTTTTTAAACTTTGGCCATGTTTAGCATGAGAATCCAACTCTTTAATAGTGTAAATAAGTCAGAATGCATGAAATAGCATTAGACCTCCCCTTTAATAATAAAGCGATAACTGTTTTATGGGAGCAGAGAAGAGTGAATTATAGGGCTAATTTTGAACTTATCCTTTTCCTTTTTCTACTGCTACTAAATTGAACTGATATTTAAGCTGTGTTTTCACTGAGCATTAAAGGCATCTTTTATTGGAATTGCACCTCTTATGATAAGCTAACATCTCAAAGGTTGTGGGTTGAGTATTTCTTACCATTTGATATACAGTATAGTGGAAAAAGTTCTAAATTGGCATTATATTTCTATTTTGCTCTTTTTTTGTGATTTGTAAATGAACATAGAGTACTAAAGTAAAGATTTGCAGTGATGCGTTTCCAGTGCATCATTGGTAATCTGAGCTAGTTTCCTCAAGATCTCTGTAGTTAAATAGATTGTTTTGCACAAGGGTTTGCAAAAGTGTTGTTTTGTCATGCTGCCAAAACTTTTGCTGCAATGCACATTGGCGTAGACATCCGCTGACCAATCAGAATTTCACACAGGTCTAGTTTTGCTGTGTGTTTTTTTTTTGCCAGAGCCTATTAGATGCTAAGTATTTACACTAAGTATAAACGGTAAGCATAAATAGTGTTATGATACATTTATATCTACACAGTTAACAGCTCAGTGTATTGAAGTACATTATAGAAGAGAAATAATAACATATTCAGTGTATGTTTATTAAAATCATAAATGGATGCTGCCTTGCTGGGACCTTACTTGTCGCGATCCCTAAAGCCTAATCCCTACACCTAACCCTACTTAACCATAACCATATTGAACTTGTTGATCAGTAAAGGTGTTCTTGAAGGTCCAGGAAGAGAGCCATGGTTTTGAGATTGGTAACAACATGAGCTACACTTGTTGTAGTCGATGTGCCAGCCCGTCCGAGGACACTACATTCAGTCTCAATTATAGCCATTTTAAATACCCATTAAACACTTTATTTCCATTATGTACTCATATTAAACACCATTAGTACCGAGACTCGAACCCACAAGCTTTTGGTTACAAGTCCGACTCTCTAACCATGCTGCCTAAACTGCCTTTGCTAACAATACAGATTATTTGCATTTTATGGAAATAGACACTTGGAATTTCTGTCCACATTTTCCTATTCAAAATGGATCAGTCAAATTAAACTTAAGTACCCTTACATAGGGTACATTGACTGCAGCCTTGTGCACTCATGTTAATACACAAGCACAATGCTAAAAATGTGTTTGTATTTGTTTGTCATGCTGCAAAAGCATTCTGAGTGAAAAATGCCTCCCCCTGATGAGTGCCACCACAACCCAAATGAAGATGATATGAATTCTCCTACCAGTCCATTGAACCTCCTGGATCAGAACTACCAGGAGCTGCACCAGGACTGTCTCACTGAAAACACACTATACAATGATGAGTTGTTCCCTCCAGACAACAGCTCCATTGGCTTGTTTGATGATCTGCCGCCTGAGGTGGACATGTCTCAAGTTGTGTGGAAGCGGCCATCCGTATGTAAACATTACATTACAGAATTCTTTGTCTATAAATATTCTAACCTTCTGCCATAATGGCTTTCATAGCTTTGCATGGAATTATGAATTACAAATCTCTTCTTTGTATGTGTCCATGTTTTGCTACTGAAGGAATTGCACTTGATTTTCTCTCATCAGGAATTGGTGTCAGACCCTAATTTAATTGTAGATGATGTGTCAAGGTTTGACTATGCACAGGGAAATGTATTAGGTAAGTTTGAGTAGATTCTGGTGTCATACCATAGTTGCTATGTCTAATGTGTTGTGGGCCAATTTTTGTTCTCAACCCAGATATCAACTCATGTCTCTTCTTAACAATTAAAACAAATGGCATCATGCACCATATGATGGGAAACTAGTAATAATATACACCATTATTTTGACACATTTTATACATACTTCAGATGTGACTTCAGATAAGTAATATTTGATTTATTTAGGAAACTGTTGGTTCTTGGCTGCAATTGGAGCTCTAACGTTTGAGAAGGATATCATAAAACAGGTCATGCCAGCTGAACAGTCATTCACCAAGGATTATGCTGGGATATTTCACTTCAGGGTGACT